GCACAAGGAGGTTGCTCTCCGCCATAGGGATGTATCCCCCGTAGAAGGTCGGAGCAAAATGTGGAAAGGCTTAGAGAAGAACGCAGACAATGTAGGGACAATCGGGCTCAAGAGGAGGCCCTGATAGATGAGGTGGATACCATATTTGGAGGCCCCTACGTAGGCGGTGAAATGCGGAACTCACAAAGAAACTACACTTGAGAGGCCAAGTGTCCTCCATTGACTAGTTACATTGTAGACAGTAGCTCCTGAAGGAATCAAGCACCACCTATCATCTTCACCCAGGAAGACGCAGAGGGAGTTCATTTTTCCCATTGTAAAGTCCTTGTGGTTAGGGCCATTGTTGCCCGAAATGAATTAAAACGAATTCTAGTAGACAATGGTAGTTCCGTGAACATTTTATTCGGATTTACCTTTGACAAGATGATCTTAGACCACGAGTTGACTCCCACCACTACTCCCTTATACGAATTCACTGAAGATGGCATCACTTCGAGGGAAAAGATCACACTCGTAGTGGAGATGGGAGAATCACCCCAGACAACATTGAACTTCATGGAATTTCTTATTGTGGATAGCTAGTCGGCTTATCACGTGGTACCAGGAAGACCTACCCTAAAGGAATTGGGGGTTGTCACTTCCATCCATCATCTATGCATAAAATTCCCGACTGAAAATGGGGTGGCTTGAGCTCCATCAGGAAGGCTGAGCCTTGGGATGTCAATATCATTATAATGGAGATGGACATGACTGATGTCCCAAGAGAGCCTCCCTCCGAATATGTTGAAATGATCGACGTTCCTTCCGAATGGGAAGAACCACTTGTACTTGACGAAATTGATCCGTGTAGCTGAGCATGAGCCCTAGACAGCCTCGGTAAAGGAGTTGGAAAACTTCCTGATGGACCCTCGGGATCCCAACAAAATGTTAAAAACGGGTAAGTGCCTATCCACTGACTTGAAAGAGAAACTCAAGAACTTCCTAAGTAGGAACCTTGACGTCTTTGCATGGAGGCATGAGGATATGGTGGGTATTGATCCTAAGGTCAGTTGCCACCATCTTTAAATTGATCCCAAGATTCCCCGTATAGATAAAAGAGAAGAGCCCTCAACCCGGAGAGATATGAGGCTCTGAAGAAAGAAGTGCAGAAGTTAATCAAGAATGACTTCATCAAGGAGGCCATCTACCCAAAGTGGGTCTCCAACTCGGTGCTAGTTAAGAAGTACAACGACAAATGGAGGGTATGTATTAACTTCACCAATCTCAACAAAGCATGTCACAAAGACAGCTTCCCGCTCCCTAGAATTGATCAACTCGTAGACTCCACCGTCGAACATGAGTTGTTGAGCTTTATAGATGCTTACTCAGGCTACAATCAAATTTCCATGTACCAAGCCGATGAGGAGAGCACCTCTTTTATCACTGACAGAGGCCTTTATTGCTATAAGATGTTGTCTTTCGGGTTGAAAAACTCCAGGGCTACTTATCAAAGGCTCGTCAACAAGATATGCCTGGACCTCATTTGCAAGACTATGGAGGTGTATGTAAATGACATGCTAGTGAAAAGTTTGAAGGGGGATGACCTTGTGGCACACCTGAACAATACCTTCCAAATTCTAGTATAGAATGAGGCTTAACCCCCTCAAATGTGCATTCAGTGTTGCCTCCGGAAAGTTCTTAGAATATATGGTCAACTAAAGAGGAATTAAAGCCAATCCTGAAAAAAATCAGTGCTTTGATTAATATGAGATCTCCCCAGAAACCAAAAGATGCCTAAAACCTAACTGGGCGGGTGACAGTACTCGACCGCTTTATCTCCAGGCCACCGACAATGCCTTCCGTTCTTTAAACTATTGAAAGCAAGAAAGAGTTTCAAATGGACAAAGGAATGTGAAGAGGTCTTCCAAGGTCTAGAATTCACCTAGGGCAGACCCCCTCCTCTCAAAGCCGAAATTCGGAGAAGTTCTACAACTATATTTGGCAATTTTCAATGAGGCCATCAGTGCGATCCTAATCAGAGAAGAAGGTACCACCCAACTCCGCGTGTATTACACTATCAAGGCGCTTCTACTTTAGAAACCCGCTACCCCGACATGGAGAAGCTTACCTTGGCCTTGATCACATCCTCTAGGAAGCTGAAGCCATATTTCCAAGCTCACACCGTTCACGTCCTTAGGCCAACAAAGAACACACAACATCCAAAAGCAATGTTTTTAATGTGGCCCAACTGCTTGAAGGCCGAAGTGCTCTGGCCGAGGTAGTCCATACCGAGGCCCAAATGCCCAAGCCGAATTCGAGAACACCTTTGGCATCACTCCTCTCTAGAGATCCGGTCTTACACAAGAATCTTCTTTTAATGATTGATGAGACGCCAATCATAGAGTGCAAGTGTCTCATCTTGTCAAACATAGCGGCGGCTATGCCAATTAATAAATGTGTAGCAGGCTAGGTAGTCAAACGTAGAACTTGACATGTTAACTAACAAGATGAGGCCACGTGTACTCCCAAATCGAAGGCCACAATTCAACTTGTATTATTATAAATACTTCCCCATGCACCCCATGTAAAACTAATGCAAGATTCAATACAAGAATAAATACTACACAACACTCTTTTACTCTCTTATAATACAAATCGAGATTATACATAGATTTATCAATTGTGATTGGTAATTATTGTACAATCGTTTTACTAATGTCTCTCCGGATTTCGAACGTTGTCGTCCCGCGCCTTTGAGCTATTCCCAAGCCCATCTACCTGACTGTTCCAGACCATATACGTGTCTAAGCGTGCTGGACTAGGCTTGCGTGTACACGGGTAGATCCGGTATCTGTTGTCTGACTGGAAACTAGGTCAACACAAGCTATCAAGTATGTCGAATACAAGTATTTGACCATTCTACCATAGAATCGAGTTGCTAAATATTGCAAACCATGTGTATTCAACGAACCCCTTTCTTTTTATTTTTTCGATGGTTAAAGTTTAAAAAGGTTACATACTTATTCCAATATTAAAGTAACGCTTTCAAATAAATAATTTTATGATTTTTAAGTTCATCTGAATCTATTCTGTAGTTGAGAATGGGAGAAGAAATTTGATGAACCATCTATTTATTTCATGTTTTGGAACTTAAATTCATGAAATAATATGCTATTATTGCAATATGAAAGTATTAAATCGTCAAAATACTATTTTATTCTTTAAAAAGTAAAAACAAATAACTTAATATGTTTAATCATATAAGTACTTGTTTAATATGAAAATAAGACAAAGTAAAAGATGAAACTGGTTTAGTTAGAAAAAATTGAAAAGCTCAAAATATGCTCGACCAACTCAACTCCATGGCCAAGCTGTTGTGTGTGTCGTATTTATGTAATTGACCAGTTCAACCATAGAAACGAGTCTTTGAGTACGGTCCATTACATATATTGAAATATTTCAATTCTTTTTATTTTTACATTTAAAATAAGTATTATTTTCGTGTACATGTCTTTGACCTTATCAATCATAGAAATGAGTCGTTACATATATATTCAAATAACTCAACCCCTTTCTTTCTTTTTTTTTTTACATTTAAAATATATAATATGTTTTTTCTTTCCTTCTTTCTTTTTATTATGTATTTATTATTATTTTTATTGAAGGAAGTTAGGCAAGCATGTTCTTACAGTTCTAAACTATTACCATAAATTTTGTTTTAGTCCTCAATTTTGTATATAATATTTAGGGGTAATTAGTACAAAACGTTTTTATTGATTACACTCATTGTACAAATTATTCCTTTTTTTTTTTTTTGTTAAATTTGACAGTTACACCTTCATTTCAATTTTTTCTTGTGGAGTTGGTCATTTATGTCTTCTACTATCAGTTTCTTTCGTCAAATATGGGTAATTGGTGTTAAATCGTTCCTATTGTTGGCCTTCATTACACAAAATATCCTTACCGTCCACCACCCCCATAATAATTAAAAAGAGAATTAATAGTATAAAATAAAGTAAGTAACAAAAAAATTTTAAAAAAACAATTAATTAATTAATTATTTTTTTTATTCGACTTTGGCCCTACTGGAGACTACCACCACCATCCATTCTCTCCATCCCATTACTGCACCAGTTAGGAATTTAGCTATTATTCTGTAATCAAAGTTTGTGTTCAAATATTTTGTTTGCTTTCAGCAAAAGTTATGAGAGATTTTTATTTTTTTTATTTTTTATTAGGGATTTAGATTTTTGGGCAAATGCTTGATTTTACTTTTTGTTGATGATTACATACACATATGTATGTGCATATATACACACTGCATTATTTTTAAATTTTGCTCTGACTTTTTTTCCAATTTATTTTGTATTACAAAATGATGTATGAAGATGGGATTTTTTTCCCTTTCATTAGAGGTTCATTCAAGATTTTAATCCAACATCAATCCTAACTGTTCTAATTCAAACCCATCTATTTTTTTATTTTTTATATTATTTTAAGTGGAACTCGTTTTCACAATTTGAAAATTTTAGAACTTTGATTATAATTATTTATTTTTTTATACTTTTTTTTGTCTATTTGTTTATTTAAAGAGGGAGGTAATTAATTATTTTACAGTATTTTAATGGAGAAAATAGATGATAAAGGACTTTTTGTGCACCGATCGCAAATGATAGGGACATTTTGCATCAATTACATATATTTGATGGAATGAAACTGAAATAACCAATTGTTCAAGAAAATGATCGAAATGAGCGTGTACGAGTGATGCTTCGTGTACGAGTGATGCTTCGTAAAGTATGAGTTGGTAAGATCTATATCACTCATCTTAAAACCAGATTTTGAAATCTAAATAAATCAACGGCCTAAGTTTTGTTAGCACCTATTTTATCAATAAATTTTATCTACCTACTTTGTGTAAGTAGATTAATTAGAGCGTGTAAATGTCAAATTTGAATAAGTAAAGACAATTTGTACAATGACTATAAACGATGAGACCTTTTGAGCTGATTCAGTATTCTCGTGTGAAACCGTGTCGAGACGCAGTATTTGACATCTGAAAAGATGCAGACTACAAAGATATTCAAAGTCTTGATTCCAATTCAAATATCCCCAACTCCCTTCCTCGCACACACGCTGACACGCCAATGACCCAATTCCATAAACAATATTCTAATTTATCAAGCTTTCCCAATAAGACTTCATTAAACTCATTCTCCTTTAATTTGTTTTTATTTTTGTTAAGGATTCATGGTGTCAAAGATTTTTCTTGTTTCGGGATTCTTTTACTTGTTTTTCTGTGATTTTTTTGCCGCTGAAGCTTTTAAGAGTTTGACTTTCAATGATACGGGCATAGAATTTCCTGATCATTCGAGCTTCAATTCTGTTTCTTCCTCATTAGATTCAGATTGTAGCTTCTCGGAATCGAAGAAAGGATATACCCCCTTTAATTTTACGCCGGAAAATGGACCGGCCCCGTCAGTGAAGCTTCATCTAAAGCACAGATCAGATGGGCGAGAAATTAACGGCAAAGATCGTTTAATGGAGTCTACAGCGAAGGATTTGACTCGGATTCAGACATTGCACAAGAGAATTATAGAGAAAAAGAACCAGAACACCATTTCAAGAGTAAAGAAAGATGGTGGTCAACAGTTTTCTTCGCCGGAAAGTGGGTTTTCCGGGCAGCTGACGGCCACCCTTGAATCAGGAGTCAGTCTTGGTTCAGGAGAGTACTTCATTGATGTCTTTGTGGGTACACCTCCTAAACATTTCTCTTTAATTCTTGATACTGGTAGTGATCTTAATTGGATTCAATGTGTTCCTTGTTATGATTGTTTTGAACAAACTGGCCCTTATTATGACCCCAATGATTCGATTTCGTTTAGAAATATAAGCTGTCGTGATCCACGGTGTCACCTAGTTTCATCGCCTGATCCTCCACAGCAATGCAATGCTGAGAATCAGAGTTGTCCTTATTATTATTGGTATGGAGATAGTTCTAACACAACTGGTGATTTCGCACTCGAAACTTTCACTGTTAATCTCACGACACGGAATGGGAACACAGAATTTAGGAGAGTCGAAAATGTGATGTTTGGATGTGGTCATTGGAATAGAGGTCTATTTCATGGTGCTGCTGGATTGTTAGGGCTTGGAAGAGGGCCACTTTCGTTTTCGTCGCAGCTTCGATCTTTTTATGGCCACTCGTTCTCGTATTGTCTCGTGGATCGAAATAGTAATGCGAATGTTAGTAGCAAGTTGATTTTTGGTGAGGATAAAGACCTTTTGAGCCATCCTGAATTGAATTTCACTTCATTTGTTGTGGGAAAAGAAAATCCGGTTGATACATTCTACTATGTCGGGATTAACTCGATTATAGTTGGAGGAGAGGTTCTGAATATACCAGCAGAGACATGGGATTTGTCACCGGAAGGTGCTGGTGGATCTATCGTCGATTCAGGGACTACGTTGAGTTACTTTGCTGATCCGGCTTATAGGATTATTAAGGAGGCTTTTGTAAAGAAGATCGAGGGATATCCGGTTGTAAAAGATTTTCCGATACTCGATCCTTGTTATAATGTTTCTGGAGCGGTGAAATTGGATATGCCCTCGTTCGGGATTCTGTTTAGTGATGGAGCAGTATGGAATTTCCCATTAGAGAACTATTTCATCAAGCTCGAGCCGGAAGAGGTGGTTTGTTTGGCAATTTTGGGGACGGCCCGCTCGGCTCTATCCATTATTGGCAACTACCAACAGCAGAATTTTCACATATTGTACGACACGAAACAGTCGAGACTAGGATTCGCGCCAACAAAATGTGCTGACATATAACGTTGTCTGACTTACTGCATAGTTATGGGGCTGGTGGAAAACTGTAAACATACCTGGGTCGTGTGTATCCATGTACATGGATACATGTCACTGTTTACTTACAAAAGGAGGTAAAATGACATGATACTGAATCCTTTCCCATCCTTTTTTTTTTTTTTTTTTTTTTGGGATTTAGGCTTATGCAATTCATATATTGATTGATTACTACACAACATAATCTGTTTTCTTTCTAAGCTGTATGCAAAAAATTTGAAATGTTTCTTAGATCTACAATAAAGTTGCTTGCTTATTTGTGAAACAATCTAGGGTTCAGAAGACCCCTACACCACTTTCGTTGCTAAAATGTTCATGGGTGCATGTTTGGTAAACGGTTAATACTATGCTCGACAATGCAAAAATAAGATTTTAACTTCTTTTTTTTGTTCTTTAGTATTGTTCGATGTTGCATCATTCACGTCACCCAACATGCCCTTAAGTGATGCGCTACTATAGTGTTCAAGTCAAAGAAGGAACAAAAATTGAGTATTGCATTTCAATTGTGCTCAACATGGAGAGATATGTTGTTTTAGTCATAGTTATAGGATCTAATCGAGGCATCGATTTGGTCGAGACGCCATGTTATCGGGTCGTCCATCGGACTGTTAGGTCACTGCTTCAAAATTATTTAGAAATATTCAAAGTAAATCATTTTCTCTTTGAGATAAAATTAAACATTTTAAGCTATTCGTCACTAATTATTTTTATATCTATAAATTATTGATATTATAAACTTATTGTGACTATAATGTTTACATTTTAATTTTATAATTTTGGATATTATAAAATTTCAAAATTAGTTTAAATTATTTATTATTAAAGTATTGGTTTTATTTAACTAAAAATAATTTCTCCATGCATATTAAATTCATAAAATAATTAGTAAAATGATGAATTTCAAAAATATTTTAAGGTAACAATAAATGATTTACTATAATAACAAATTAGTTATAAATACAAAAAATGAATAAAGATTTTATTTGCCCTAATGGTAAGCTTGCTGGACTCTATTTGGCTTAGTTAAAAATCATATTTTCAATAAATTTGATAAAAGATGATAAAAAAATTTATGGATAAAAAGGTGAAAAATGTGGGTCACATTAAACCCTGACAAGTAACAATTAATTGGGCCTAAGTCTTACAAAAAAGAGTTTGCTTGTAAATAAACCAGTTCTTAATCGGATAAGTGAGTCCAACCATCTACAACAAATCGGCCTGGTCAAGTTCTTGGGTCGCCAGTTATTTGGCCCAATAAACCGGGTTTTAATTGTTTATAAGGGCCTGTTTTGGAGCAATTTTTTCATCCAAAAAATTGATTTTTTGACTGTTATTTCACTATTCAAGCCGTCATATTTGACTTCTTCTTTCACAAGTAGACCCCACTTTTCTCCTAACGGTCAAAAAATCAATTTTTAAAATTACTCCCAAACAGGCTCTAACTATGGATTTATTTCAGATTCCCAACACTTACTCAAATACCCACGGTATTTTCAAAATTGTTTTCTAATTATCCTGCACTTTTGACATTGTTGATGTAGTGATTAATAGTAACAGTGTTGAAATTACACTAACTATTTGCAAAAGTTTTGGAGTTTAAAAAAGAAAATCAAAGAAAGTGTAGTGACCTACTAGATTTTCTACCCATCATTTTGAGGTGAAGTACTAGTTTAGCAATAATTTCCATCCTATTTTCATGTTCTTTGTTGACGTTCAAAATCGAAGCAATCAATTTTGATCAACTTAATTGAGAATTATTTACTGGAATAGTGAGAAGATCACGTGATTGGCTTTTTCATAAAAGCATTGGAGTATAAAAATGGAAGTGAGTAAAGTCATGGTCTCTCAAGGGGACCATTTGTCTCCATTTATAGCCGAATTTGAAAAGGATGGTTGCTGTAGTCACAGTCATTTACCGTGCATCGGACGTCAGATGCAATGTTCTCCTTATTAAGTATGTCAAATTATTCAATCGAAATTGGTTTTTAAAGGTTGAACCCCAATCTTGAGGGCCTTCACCGCCCCCACCTTTAGAGGTTTGTGAGGGAGGTAAATCGCGGGATGTTCCCCAACAGGATACTCAAGGTAATTATTAATTAACACTTTAAGTCCTTTGTTGTCCCTTAATTAATTAAAATTAATGAATCATATAAGCACACGCTCAAACGCTTGGTATTTCCTTCTTCATGGTATATAAGAAGAAATGAATTATAACAAACAATAAAAAAAACGAGAGATTTAGAAGCTAGGTGGTTATGGCTTTGGCGCCCAAAAAATTAATATTCCATTCTTCTTCATCATCATCTGCTTCTGAGGGTTGTGAGTATATATTATTCTTGAACTTAATTTTGATTATTCAAACCCTTTTGCATATTGAACAATTTATATGTGTGGTCCAGTTTAAAAACCAATTTTGGCTTCTTTTTCGGATTTTCTAGCAGTATCAACTGAAATAATCTCCTTTTCTTGTAGAAGAAAAGTTTTGAATAAGATTCATGGAGAGTTTTTCTTGCTTAATGAACAGAGATGATAGGTAGTGAAATAGTAGGAATTTCTCTATAAACTTTTGGCTTTTCACTTGCAATCGAGTAACTTCATCTAGAACTCTGTTTCTTTAAGTTGTTTACAGCCATGCTATTGAATAGGCCCTTTATCTTTCTTGAAATTATTTTAGCAGACTCTTTTAAGCATCACTAAACATCTCCAATTGGCATTTTTTCTTGTTCTCATCCATGCATATTCTGTACTTGTCATGATTATATGCCTCTTTTTTCTTGATGATATTGTTTATCTTTAGCTCGTCTTGAAAAATTAACATATGAAGTTGCTCTTGTATATTAAAGTCTTAGTGTGAGATTATGGTTCTCTTAACTCTATTAGATTTAAGTGCTATTTGTGTCATTCATATGGATTGTGCTTGTCTAGTTTTATTGTGGACCATTGGATGGGATCGACGGCTGTGATTTATTCTATGTGAGATATTTTTTGTTGCTTGAGCTTGTGTGAGAAGCTTTGACTATTTTTCCACCAAATAGGGCTTTCTCACGTTTTTGGAAAAACAAGTCTTTCTCTCTTAAAATTCGGCCCTCTCTCTTCTCCTCAAGACTTCTCTCTCCATTTGCACCTTACTGTGAGTGTTCTTGAGAGTGCCTTCTTGTGAGCTTCTTCTTGAGTGTCCCTTGTGATAACTTAGGCCTGAAATAGTGGCTAAGTATAGGTGATGTTTTTCAAAGCTTGGTAGAAGAGAGGGGTGCGGTGGTGGCGGTTTCAAAGGAGGTTCTTTGCTGGTTTCCTAGCTCTCTCTTTGGAAGGTGATTTGAATGACATGGGAGCTGTTCCTGAGCCTGAAAATCAGCCATAAACAAAAGAAGTTGCTGTCCAGATTTTCGGCCATTAATGGATTGTATTTTCAGTTTATGTTTCTTGTATTTTTGCCTTGGAATCTTTGATTAAATGATGTTTGTTGTTGGTTGAACTCCGAGAACCCAACAAACTGGTATCAGAGCTAAGTTGTGGAGGTTTTAAGGCTGAAAAACAGCAGAAAACAGACCAGAAAAATCGGCAGAAAACAAGAGAAAAAGGCTGTCCAAAATCTGTGCAAAAATCAGACCTTCAAACGCAATTTCCTGCCAAACTAGAAGGAATTTGGAAAATCTAAGACCACCGGCGTGCTCTGTAGATTGAGTAGGTACTGGTGGGGTGGCGCATGAATTTTTCGGCAGCGGCGCGTGGGCGGTCTCCGACGAGGTTTTTTCAGGCAGGTTTTTTAGTTTAACCTGCTGAACGTGTTAATGTGTTTATTTTAGTATTTTAGGTTTTACATAAAAAGTTGGGTGATTTTGCCCCTGGCTTGATGTCTACAGCGATTCGGTTCAGACACTTGTTGGTATATTTACTGTTTTTCAACAGTAGTTTGGTAAGATTATTCCAAACTCTCCGTTAGGTTAGGTTTGATATTCTTACCGGTTTATGCATGATTATTGCTTGGTTGCCTATTTGTGAATTCCGTTGATTGAATTCTTATGATTAATTTGTAACCTGGAAGCATATTTACCTGCATTATATACCTGTGTTTTCATTGTTGTGCTTCATTTCTAAAATTTGTTTTTAACTCAGCATTCATATTTTTATATTGATTATCTGGAAAAGAATTTTTCAAAACCTTTTCTGTTATGTCCACGAGTACATGCCACTCTTTTACAGAATCTGTAATGGGTTCGAGGGTCGAATTATCGTAATTCGATGGAAAGGGGGATTACTCGATATGGAAACAGAAAATGAGGGCCATTTTGGTCTAACAGAGAGTTGCTAAAGCTTTCGATGATCCCACTACATTTTCTGATGAGTTAAAAGCTAAACCAACTGAAATTGAAGATATGAATGAAATTGCTTACAGTTCTATAATTTTGCATCTATCTGACAACATTGTAAGACAAGTTGATAGTGCTAAAACTGCTAGAACTTTGTGGACTGCTTTAGATGCCTTGTTCTTAACTAAAACTTTACCTAACAAAATATACCTGTTGGAAAAGTTGTTTAGTTTTAAGATGGACCCGGGGAAGGATGTTGAGGGGAATTTGAGTGACTTTAGCATAATTGTTAAGAGTCTAGCTCATAATAATAAAAAATTTGATGATGAGGATTTAGCTGTCATATTGCCAAACTCTTTGTCCGAATCTCACAGAGAAATGAAAAATGCCATAAAATATGATAGGGACACTCTCACTCAAGCTATTGTTTCCGATGCTTTAAAATCAAGTGAACTTGAATTAAAAAGAGACAACAGAACTCATTCCCGAGAAGAGAGTCTATTTGTTAGGGGAAGACCTGAAAAGAAAGAATTTAACTTCCATAACAAGAAGGGGAGAGAAAAATCTAAAATGGGATCCAAATCTAAAAATAAAAGCGGTAAGAAATGTTATCACTGTGGAAAGTTAGGACATTTCAAAAAAGACTGCTTCGACTGGAAAAGGAAACAAAAAGACCCGAACAATTCTGATGTTGATAATGCTGCTATTGTTTCTGAATTTGATAGTTTGCATGTCATGAATGTGTCTGAGGAAGAATTTGACAAAAAAATGGATTTTAGACACAGGGTACACTTTCTATATGTGCCCTGATAGGTCTTGGTTCTATAACTATAGAGAGACTGAACCTAGGAAGGTCTACATGGGAAACAATAATTCTCAAAATGTGGTTGGAGTTGGTGACATAGCCATCAGAATGTACGATGGGGCCGTCACGCAACTCAGAAATGTTAGATATGTC